GTACTGTATCTGTTTTCGTGATTGTACTTGTTGGCATGCTTTAAGTTTGATAAGGGGCACTCCATATTTACTTACTGAGTTTATCTCATAGTTTTCCTTGTCCACCATTTCAGGAAGTGAAACCGAGGACGGAGAAACCACGGGAAGTGACGAGTTAGAAGGCTAGCCATTTCGAGATTGATATAGATTTGTAGATATGAATCATGATCTTGTATTTGGAGATTTTATTGGAGATTTATGATATCAGAGAGATTTTATAATTTGATCTTCAGATTTTGATGGTATCAGAGCGTGAATGTGATAAGTTCCGAGCCTTGTGCATTTGTGGGATCCGTCTCACGAGTGCACGGCGTCTGCCACGTCCCCGGATTTGGGTTCTGGGGCGTGACACTAATGGAAGTTAGAACTTGAAGGATCAATTGTTTACTATTTAAAGTCTCTATGTTTATAAGAAAGTTTTTTCATTGTTGTTTTATTTTAGAGATTTGTCTAAATCCAAATTTTGATTACAGGGTATAGTTGCTTGGATTACATTTTCTCAATATGAATAGGTATTTGATTTTATGCATCAATTTCTTTTCTCTCTAATTATGTTACATTGTTTTCTTTAATTTTAAAATATTTTGTTATGTAAAGGTAAATCAATTGCAAGAGATATGGAATATGGATTTCTTGATCAACTTTCACCCGATAAAGAAGATTAGAGTGCGAATATGTAGATTATGGGATGTTTTTAATTTAAAACATGATAGGGACCATCTAACTACTGAAATGGTTCTAGCCAATGAGAAGGTAATTTTATAAGTATTACATTTAGTCTTTTATGTGTTTAACGATTTTTATTAACAATAATTATTTATTTGCAAAAAAATTGTATTCATGCTATCATTTGAAGTTCTAATACTCTATGATTTAAGAATAAGTTGATTGAAAGGAATGTTTATTAAGTGAAAAATTTTTCTGTGGAAAAGAATAAGGACACCTATTGTGTTGTCTCTTACAACAACTACAAGATTCAATCTCATCTTAATACCGTTGTCAAAGAAGTAATCGAAGAAGTTGCAGAGATTTCGAGATTTGTATTTGAACTCATTGATTATGAGAAGCTTCTCAAGAAAGAGAAGAAATGTATTTGTGGTGTTTTTTTAATTTTAATATAATTTTATTAAATGAACACGTGATTTATTTTTATTTAAAATACTTTTATTAAAAATTTAGATGTTATTAGAGTTTTGATCGATGTTGGAACTCCACAAGAAAGGCAAATGAATGGTAGTAATGGTACTTGCGTGGAATTACATATTGAAAATCAAAGGTAATTCATATTTAAATAATTACATGAAATTTATTTGAATTTCATTTTTCTTTAATTGAATAAAATATAATACTTGATCAATTAATTATTAATAGTTGTTTGATATTGTTTTAATTTTATTGAAGAAAAAACCATTTCAATGTACAACACTTTGGTCTTCTGTGGTAAATCAATTTGAGTGAATTAAATTTTTTAATTACTCAAATGTGGAAGTCATTATGTTCACATCTATGATCGTCAAGGACAATAAAAGTAAGTATATAATGAAATTTCCAATTTTTTTTATTTTTTTAAAAATAAAAAATCTCAAAAATTATGCATCTTGATTTTTTAAAAAACCATTTTTGTATTAGGAGGAATTTCTTGATTAATTTTTTTCAATTTTTAAGAATTATGAATTCAATTAAATAAAAATTAAAAATAACTGAGGAAGATGAAAAAAATAATAGAAGTATGAG